GGGAGGCGTTGGCCGAGCGGCGATTCCCGGGAGCTCCCTACGGAGCCGGGCAGGTCCGGAGCGGCCCCGGCAGGGACAAGGGCACCCGTGAACCACGAGGCTCGGGAAGGGAAGGAGGGAAGGATGATCCGTCGTGGTGCCGCCAGCAGCGCTCCGCAGCCCCGCGCAGCTACGGACAGACCGTGGCTGCGGCAGGAGGGGCTGAACACAGGGCGATTCATTCCCAGCTGGACTCACGCAGCGCTCCGGGCGGCTCGAGGAGCCTGTCCCGGGCTCGCACAGGGAGCTCCCTGTTTCCTCGGAGAGTGACACTTGTGGAAGGAGCAGAGCCCGGCCCTGCCTCTCCATCCGCCTCGAGGGGCTGGCAATGCCGCGCTCCTCCATCCCGCCTCTGCGGCACAGCTCGCTCCCAGCTTCCTGATCCCTTCCCGCTACGGAACGGGGCTTGTTTGAACGTGCTCTGATGGCAGGGACAGAGCCCGAGCCCAACATTCATCCTGGCTGGGACCAGGAGCGGCTGTGACACGGACACCAAGCCAGGGGGGCTATGGAGCCCTTCGGCCTCCTCAGGGAAGCGGGATGAAGGCACCTTGCAGGAACGCGGAGCACGAGGCTCCGTCACGGCCCATTCCCTGCCCCGCAGCATCCCAACGGGAATGGGGCATCGCGTTCCCGGACACTCACAGCTGTGGACAGGCGCGATGCCAGCGTCATCTCCAGGTTCCCCTTGAGGCCCAGCAGCGCAGGCACCAGGATGAACACCTCCGTCACGTACTTGAAGACGTCCCAGTGCTGCAAGGGGAAAAGCAGGAGAACAGGAACACGTGCGTGGCCGTTAGCACCTTTGCTGGGAATCGGGCACCGTTTGCCTCGGGGCTTTTGCAATCCGGCCCTGAACGGATTGCCCAATCCCACTTCCAGTCCGAGTGCCACACTTGGAGCCTTCCCATACTCCTACCATTCTTTGACATTTGGAGGCCAAAACAGGGAAAAAATGAGGAAACTTGGCACTTTTTGGTGGAATCGAGCATTGACGCGCAGCCAATTCCCTGGGCGTTTTCCAAGTGCCTTCCCGAGCAAGGCCACCCCGTTCCTGGATGTCCCCTGGTCCCCATGCTCAGCTCCCTCCTGCCTATTCCGGCTCTGGAGCCCGGCAGCTCCCGGGGGCGCGAGGCAGGACGGAGCCGCAGCCATTTAGGAAGGAGCAATCGCAGAGCGAGCGGCCCCACGGCAAAGCTGCAATTCTGGGAAAACAGCCCCGAAAAGCTCCGGAGCGCCTGAGCCTCCTGGCCCCAGGCCTTTCCGAGGAAGTTTTGCAGGAAGGAGACGTGCCCAGAACAACTGCTCTGCTTCCTCGTGCCGGCGGCGCTCCCGGGCAGCCAAGGGGCCCCGTGGTTCTTTCTAGGATACCGGCCGGGCCCTCGGAGCAAACAAAGCTCTCCCTGCCTGCGTGGCTAACACCTTCCCACGGGCAGGCCCTGTGGTTGGTTGTGTTTGGTTTTCCCCTCCGTGCTCCGCTTGCTGCTCCGTGGGGACAGCGGGAGCCGGCCGATCCCGGCTCCCTTGAACACGCTGCTCCGGCCGCACTCCCTGCGGGAGCGCCGCAGAAAACGGCTCCGCATGGACAAACGGGACCACTTTGCCCCTCCAAGGGAAAAGCCCTTCAGCCTCCACTGCAGACCC